TTCTCCAGCAGAGCATCTGGTGGATTTGAACCGCGCACCTCTGCGATTGCAGTGCAGCTTCTTGCCACTAGGCCACCAGAGCTCGCCTGATAGTCCTCCTCGTTTTTGCTCACTCACTATGTCTTGTTTGGTTGTTGGATTTTTTAAAAAAATATTAAATCCCTCTCCGGGACTGCCTTCTCCTGATAATATGTCTAAAGTATGTAAAACATAGTCTCACCATCCTTGCTTCTAAGGAAAAACTTATTCATTATCTATTATCCATATGTGAATGATAATGGATTTTTTTGACTCAGAGACTTAGGTTCAGAATTAGGATAACTTGTCCAAATCCTTAGCTGAAGGACTCAATTGCTGGAAGCTTGTATGCACTACTTGGGTTTCCTGTGAAAATTATACACTTTTTTATTGCTTTCTCCAGTACTTAATGTCTCCCTTTGTTTTCTGAGATTTGGCACAACAGTTTATCACTCAGGGAAAAGTTCTCTCCTTAGAAAACCAGTTGTTAGCAAATAGATTCTGACTCCTGTATGCCAGAATCTGTGCTCCTTAAGGTTCCCACAGCTGGTGTTCTGAATGTAGATTACTGGGGTTTTCTTCTGAGGTGCCTCTGGGTAGAACTGTACCTTGAAGCTTTCATTTATAGCAGTTGAATGTTTTACTCTATCATTTAGAAGCATTCCACAGTACACAGGAGAAAGTCTTGATTCTTCAGCCAAGCATGTAAAGCCCCTCATACTCTGGACCCTGCACCTTTTTCAAGTTATATATATATATTCAAGTTCAATATATATATATTCAAGTTCTATATATATATATAAAATTCTATAAACAAAATTTTGTTGAAATCAGTGCAGGGAAGGAGCCAGGTGAGTGGAGAACTCTAAATTACTAAATTTGTGGGATTTTAATGCAGACAGACAGTTATTAATCCCATTAGATTAAATTTCTCTGAGGTTGTGGACTATTGCAATTTCATTCACTAAGCAATATACCAACCATGCTCAAACATCCCTCATTTTTATTGGGTCAAAATCAACACATAGGTGACCCTCCAGCGGGTTTTCAGAGGCTGTAAATCATATGGTACATGAATGCTCATCTTCCTACCATAGAGCAGTTGGGTGCAGAGACAGCACAGGAGAGGAAGACCCTGGATGAGATGGATTGACACAGTAACTGGGGCAATAGGAGTAGGTGTGTTGGAGACAGTGAGACAGGCTCAGGACAGGGCAGGCTTCAGATCTGTTGTGCATAAGGTCTCAATGAGTTGCTGGTGACTTGACAGCACATTACAACAACAGACTTTGTTTTGGCAGCACAAGGCCACTAGACATACAGTTCGTGATTATTATCTGTAGAATGTATAAATGAATGACAGCATCTTGACTCCACAGACAGTATAGAAAACAAAAAACGGCTAAAGAAATCTGGAACAAAATAGAGGATAAAGAAAGACATTTGGGACAAAAAGAAGTATGAGAACATTCTTAAGTTATATCTCACACATTTCCTAGAATAGTGTATTTGGTAAGTTTCAATAAAAGTTCAAAGGGAACATAGTACATTCTCAATATAAACATTCTAAGGTCACTCTTTCATATTTTTTTCTAGACTCCAGAGAATGACATGCTCATAACTACCTAGAATAAAGCATGTTTAGCATATTTTTATGTGTGTGCCTTGAGGTTTCTTACCGCCAAGCTCATGGCAGGAGAGAATCAGACCAATGACTTTGAGTTCTTCCTCTGGGGCCTCTCTGAGAAGCCAGAACAGCAGCGTGTCCTCTTCCTGCTGTTCCTGTGGATGTATGTGGTCACTGTGGTTGGGAACCTGCTCATTGTCCTGGCCATTGGCACTGACACACACCTCCACACTCCCATGTACTTCTTCCTGGCCAGCTTGTCCTGTGCAGACATCCTTTTCACCTCCACCACCGTCCCCAAGGCCCTGGTGAACATTCAGACTCAGAGCAGATCCATCTCCTATGCAGGATGCATGACTCAGCTCTATTTCTTCTTGACCTTTGGAGACATGGACATTTTCCTCCTGGCCGCAATGGCCTATGACCGCTATGTGGCCATCTGCCATCCTCTCCATTACATGATGATCATGAACTACCGGCGCTGCACTCTCATGGTGACTGCCTGCTGGACTCTCACCAATCTTGTGGCTATGACCCACACCTTCCTCATATTCAGACTTTCCTTCTGCTCCAAGAAGGTCATTCCTGACTTCTTCTGTGATCTGGGACCCCTGATGAAGGTGTCTTGCTCAGATACCCAGGTTAATGAATTTGTGCTCCTCTTCCTGGGGGGAGCAGTCATTTTAATCCCCTTCATACTCATTCTGGTCTCTTATATCCGCATTGTTTCAGCCATCCTCAGACTTCCCTCTGCCCAGGGAAGACGCAAAGCCTTCTCTACATGCGGTTCCCACCTTGCTGTTGTCGCCCTGTTCTTTGGGACGGTAATCAGGGCTTATCTGTGTCCCTCATCTTCTTCCTCCAATTCAGTGGAGGAGGACACAGCAGCCGCTGTTATGTACACAGTGGTGACTCCTCTGCTGAACCCCTTCATTTACAGCCTGAGGAACAAGGACATGAAGGGTGCGCTGGGGAGACTTCTCAGGGGCAAAGTCTCCTTCTCATTGTACTAGTGACTTCAGCAGAGCTCTCTAGTGAGAGATTTCAGAGAGTATCATCACCTTCTCCCTTAATCCCTATCAGGAATGTGTATTATGAAAGAAAACAAACTGTATACTGTGCATTAAAGTTACTCTGTGAGAACTGTAATGCTCATAATTCAACATTCTGTACACACTTCCTTTTCAAAATTTTATTTATTTTTGTTCCCATTGTTATGTGCCGTTGAGTTGCTTGCCACTCATAGCAACCCTGTGTACAACAACTCTGAACCCTGCTCTATCCTGAGCCAACTTTACTGTTTCCAACACACCTACCCCCATTACTCCAGTCACTGAGTCAATTCATCTCATTAAGGGTCTCCCCTTCCTGTGCTGTCACTTTACCCTCCTAAGCATGATGTCCCTCTCCAAGGACTGGTCCCTCCTTGCAACATGCCCAAAGTATGTCAGACGAAGCTTCAGAATCCTTGACTCCGAGGAGCATCTTGGTTTCACCCTCTCCGGACGAACCTGTTTGTTCTCTTAGCAGTCCATGGTATATTCAGTACTCTTCTCCAGCACCACAGCTCAAAAGCGTCTACTCTCCTTCTATCATCCCTAGTCATTGCCCAGCTTTCTGATACATAGCATGTAATTGCGAAGACTATGACCTGGAGCAGGCACACTTTAGTTTCCAAACTGACATGGTTGCTCTTCAGTACTTTGGAGAGGTAGCTGACAGCAGACTTTCCCAATGCAATTCATCTTTTAAGTTCTTAGCTGCTGATAGCCAGAGTGTTGATTGTGGAGCCAAGCAAACTAAAGCGGTTGGTTAACAATCTCAATCTCTTCACTGTCCCTCATGATGCCGCTAAATTATTATTATTATTTTACTCAAGGACTTTTATGAAATATTTGAGATAAATGAGTTTTAATCCTTATCCTTTTCTTCTTCTTCATTTTGATTACTCTGGAAGTAATACAATTCATAACATTTTTCACTGTTAGCAGCTACCCACAACCAATCACGTAGATTCTTCTTCTTCTTAAAACATTTTTTGTAAGATATTTCAAATTTTTTTTTTCTAAAAAGGCATCTTGGAGGTTTCAGTTCTCTTGCTTCTTTTAGTGGTTATAATTCCTCCGCTGGGATTACCAGTTTTCCCATTAACTTTGATTCTTTCTTGAAGGAACTGCTCAAAAGTGACAGCATGACAAGATGATTCCATCTTGTCCTGTATGGGTGCATTCAAGGGTGAACTTTCGAACCTGCTTCTTTAATTTTACATTTTTTTTCCACAGTCTTTTTTGCAGGTGCCATGAAGGCAGAAAGCGGTCCAGATTTCTTGGTAGTATATGAGATCAGGATCCAATGAAAAATGGGCTAATGATCAAAATATTAGTTTGTAACATCAATATTGTAGGACAAGGCATTTACAACTTTAAGTGAAAATATATAACTTACCTCCACCTCCTCCTACCCATGATGAAAAACAGAATACAGTAGAACCACAAGGCAGTTCTGGTGCATAGTCTGCAGGGAGTTGCACAACCCAAGGGTGCACCTCTCTGATGGTTCAACTTCACCAACAGCTGTGTGGGAAGAAGATGAGAGATCTCCTCCTGTGTGATTTACCACCTAACAACTCAAGTGGAGGGTCAGATAGAAGTAGTTTCTGAGGACAGCAAAGAAAGAAAGATGCAGCCACTACAGCAAATATAAAACAAGTCTCTGAAAAGTATAGCAGCAATTTATTTTCTTCTTTCTTTCTTTTTAAACAATCATTTAATGCATTTACTAAGACAGAAATGAAAAGGATTTCTTTACCTCTCTAAGCCTTGATTTTCTTCCCAGATTGAATCCCAGTTCTAAGCTTTTTATCACTTAGCCATCTACTTGCTCAAACTGGCCTGCTCTCAAAGTGATACACATAAGAAATTTGTCCTTCTTGAACTGCTCCTCCAGGAGACTGCTGATTTTTGCATCCCTCCTCCCCCATCATTCTACTTTTCCACTTTTTCTTGGATAGCTTTTCTTTAAACTAAATTCCTCTAGAAAACTCAGTTTTGCCCACATCATATGGCCCAGAGACGGTGCATTGTATATTGTGCTGTCAGTACCTATAATGTAATTCTTCACTAGGCCAGTTCATGACTAAACACAATGTAGATTATGTTGATAATTTTAAGTTTATGTGTATAGCACTCGGGCTTCCAGGAGATGTTCCCAGCACCCATCCATCCTTATGAATTAGTACTTCTTGTTGCTTCCTTGAGTATAAACCATGTATGTGGTAGGCTAATCTTAGATATTGAGAGTCAGGTATCCTAGCTCAGACTTTCTATTGTCCTTGGTCTTGCAGCACTTGTGCTGTTTGTCCCAGGAGATACTCAACACTCAGCTCTGTCACAGAAGAGCAACTTACCAGTAAGTTATAGGGGTGTCTTAACATAATAAATCTTCTATAATGAGTTGAGTTTTGGTGTTGGAGAAGAGTGCTGAATATCCTATAGATAGTCAAAAGAACAAACAGATATGCCTGAGAGAAAATGCAACCAAGTTTCTACTTAGTGAAATTCATCTCACATACTTTGGGCATGTTGTTAGGAGGAGGCCAGTCCTTGGGGAAAAAAAGACATCATGCTTGAAAAGGTCATAGAAAGAAAGAAAGATCTTCAACAAGATGGATTGACATAACGATTGTATTAATTGGGCTCAAGTATATCACAGATGAGGAGGACGGTCCTGAGTAGAGTAAGGTTCATTCTGTTATTCACAGAATGGCCAAGAGTTGTACTCAATTCAATGGTATTTAACAACAGCACCAACAACAATGAGATCTCAGTTAAATGTTGTGGTAACTAGCAGAGGATCAAGGACTATAGTCTGCAATATGGACTGAAGCTCAACATCAAGGAAACGGAGATGCTCACCACTGGGCCAACTGACAGAATCATGCCAGATGGAGAAGAGATTGAGATTGTTAGTAATTTCAACTTGTTCAGCTCCACAGTCAACACACTTAGCACCAACAGCCAACAAAGTATGCTATCAGGGACCTTTCCAGAGTGGTGCTGGAGAGCAAGGATGTCAGGTTAGAAACTAAGGTGCACCTAATTCAGGTCATGATCTTCACAGTTACTTGCTATGCATGAGAGAGCTGGACAATGACTAAGGATGACAGAAGAAGAATTGATGCCCTTGAGTTGTGGTGCTGGAGAAGAGAATTGAGCATACCATGGACTGCCAGGAAAACTAATGGGTCTGTCCTGGAGAGGGTAGAACCAGATTGTTCCTTGGATACAAGGATTTTGAGACTTTGGTTCACATACTTTGGGCATGTAGCCAGGAAGGACTAATCTTTGGAGAAGGATGTCATGCTTGGAATGGTTGAGGGACCACACAGGAGAGAAAGATCTAGGATGAGATGGATTGACACAGTAACTGGGGTAATGAGGGTAGGTGTATCAGAGACAGTGAGATTGGCTCAGAATAGAGTTCAGAGTTATTGTGTGTATGGTCACTATGAGTCGTAGTCAACTCGATGGCACAGAGCAGAGCAGCAGTGTGCAACTGTTTCCAGACTTTTTTTTTATTACTAATTTTGAGAGGGTATGGATTAGTGGTGAGACGTTGCACTGATAGCCCAAAGGAATCTACCAGAAGCCCTGAAGAAGAAAGCTAGCAATCTCCTCTTGTGCTATAACTGCCTGTGAAAACCTGCTGGAGGGTCAGCTTTGGATCAGTTCTGACTTGATGGTACACAACAACAACAACATTCCTTGGAAAGGGACATGATGTTTGGAAAGGTGGGGGATCAGTGAAAGAGAAGACCTCAACCAGATGGACTGACATAGTGACAGTAGCAGTGGACTCATGTGTGTCAGAGATGTTGAGGATGGCACAGGATGGGATAGGATTTAAGTCTGTTCATAGGGTCGCTATGAGTTGTACTTGACTTGATGACAATTAATTGTGGAAGCTTACTTTCACATTTACAGTAGAGAAATTTTGTTCCTTTTAAGATTCTTACTGTTAAAATTTATTTACAACCAAAATGGAGAAAAAAATAATTCAGAGTTATGATTTCTATTTCTACAGTGTGAAATTCACACAGTTCATATCACAACCAAGAGTCAAAGGCTAAGACCAGACTGAGACCTTGGCACAAACCCAGCATCAAAGAGTTTTGTGACTAGAATCTTGGACTGGTGTCCAGGAGTTCTAGGTCTTAAGTTATTCCACATATATTATATAAATTTGTATACTTTCTTTTAAAATCAGAATATTGATATATGCCCTGCCTACTAAATTGGTATTTTTGTTGAAACCATAATCATAAACATATTTAGAATCAACTTTATAGTTGCTGACAAGACAGTGAATGAATCTAGGATGTTAACCTCCTCCAAATCAGCTCAAGAAATAATAGATAAACGTTAATTTAAGAAGCAATCATAATAACCTTGTGAAGGCCCTGAGAAGAATCATGGGCTTTTCCGTGACAATGAGAAAGAGGAAAGGAGTAGAAATAAATTGCAAAAGAGCAATGCCTGAGTAGCATTGGTAAAAATAGCTAAGATTCTATTCACGTTTTTAACTTACATTTTCTTGGCATAATTATTGCCACAGAATTTCAAAGCTGTAGACTATGCTGTTTAATGTTGGTGGACACATCATCTACTGTATTGATTTGGCGCTTATAGTAGGGAAACTTCAGCTAAGTATAAGTTTTAAAAACTGGGTATTTCTTTCTTTTTCATGAACAAATTAGGATGATTAGTTCAGCCACATAATCAAAAGAATAGATTACCTCTCTCTTGATTTTCTGTAATCCTTTAACAATGGCTTCCACATCATTGCTTAAGATGGCAATTAAACTTTTGCTAGCAGGTATTTACTTTGGTCAGTAGGACTAGGACAGGGCCACCAGGTGCTCTTCCCCTTAAAGATAAAATTTGGAGGAATACAACCTCTTCCATTCATATTTTATTGACCACACCTGATTGCAAGTGAATTTGGGAAATGTTGC